ATGCTGCGTGTAGGCAGAATCTCAGTATACTTGGCTTTGCCTGAACACCAAAATCGAGTTATTAATGACTCAGAGTAGGAAGCGAATCCTACAACAAGCCATTACAAGGAAGTAACAATCCTGACACTCTGCTAAAAACACTGAAAGTAATGATCTGATAAGGTATCAAAGACACAGCCAATGAGAGCAAGATTAAAAACAACAAGCAAATACTAAAGCCCCACAACCTCCAGGAGAATTCCCACCTACTATGAAACAAAAACCTGCATTTGGAGCTTTGGATGACCCTTACTCCAGTAGCAAATCAGACATGGCTGGTGTAGGAGGATGTTCAAGGTCATGCCAGGAAGAAAGTCATAAAGGACTCGAAATACATGACATACTAGGACTCAAGCTCTGCCTATCACAGTAGTTCTCAGGAGAAGAGAACAATCTCAAGTGTGAAGCCTTTGATCGATAGGCAACTGAGCTTATATACTACCTCCTCTTGAAAAAGGTAAATGTGGAAAATCCTACAACTAGATTATATATAGAATTATTCTGTGAAGGAAAGGCAATGCACATATATCACCAATGCTACAAGGAATATAGAGGTAGCCTAAGGCTGAAAACATTGACAGTACTTAACTGTCTAATGGAATGATTCTGATCCTCTATCACAAACAACCTATTGTACAAGAAGTTTTATGAGCTTTATCAAGTTAATGGCTCATATGTTCAAAGAATCACAGACACATAGCAATGGACCTCTTAATGTACAAAGATCAAATAAAGGCTGGAAGCATCTCAGGATATATCTTAAGGTGACAATTTTATGATACTATGCACCCTGCTCTGGTAGGCACTGATGTGTGGAGAGGAAGAAACTTTCTTTTTGTATTTTCTAGCTATGCCACCACCACTACTTAAGGCGAAATACATGTGTGTGCTAAGCCACGGCTTGTTATGTCTTCCTAACTCATAACCCTAATGACTATGAGGTTAGCATTAGTACTACTTACACTCCCGTGTTAACACTCCTCCTACTGGTATACCCTCATATCTCTCGAACTAGAGCTAGCTAGAAAAAAAAAAAAAAAGTTTATATCTAAACCCCGCTATTCCCATTCGGACATCTAACATAGTCAACATATAGAAATAAACCTGCGATAACTCTCTCTTATAAGCAGTTTCATCAGCCCATCTGCTGTCATATCGCCAGTCCCATAATACTCCATTATAACCTCCATTCCATCCTCAATGACTTCTCTAATCCTATGTAATCAGATGCCTATGTGTCTCGATTGTGGTTTATATGCCGTGTTTTTGAAGGTGGAGAGAGAAGCCTGATTATTATTGTAGAGTGTGCTCAGTGGTAGAAGCATCTTCGTAACCTCTATTACCAGCTAGCTGAACCAAAGAAGCTCCTGGATTGCCATAGCACTTACAATTTACTCTGCATCTGCTATACAGATTGTGGTTATTGGTTGCCTTTTCAAATTCCAGTGGATTACAGTTGATCCAACCTGAAGCAGAGATTCGATCATAGACTTCATAGTAATGGTATCTTCGGCGAAGTCTAAATTAACAAATCCAGTGAGATAATTCCCTCCATCCATATCTCCCCCCAGACTGAGCCTGAGATGCTTCATCTCAATTAAGTAGCATAGAATCCTCTTTGTGTATACCCAGTGGTGCTGCAAAGAATCCATATTGAACCTCCCCAAGAATGACATGGTGAAGGCGATGTCTGCTATGGTACCCATACCCATCCAGCCTAGGCTCCCAATAGGTTATTGGTATAGAGACCTGTTGCATGCCTCTTTGTCTAGTGCCCTCATCCTTGGTTTGTCCTTATCTATTGGGGTTGCGACTGGCTTACACTCCCTTATCTCAAACCTTTTGGGGACATGTTTTATATAGCTCCCCTGCGTAATATAGACTTGCCTACTGACGAGGTCTCTCAAGATTACCATTCCAAGGAAGTGCCCAACTGGTCCTACATCCACCATCTGAAAGTGTGCTTTCAGCTTTCTTTTAATTTGGCGCACATTTTGAGGCTCCTCGGTGATTAGGAGATCATCAACGTAGAGAGGGCCAGGATTATGCCATCAACATGAGTATAGAGGTAGCAGTCGAACTGCCCAGGTCGAAATCCTAACCTCGAGACTATGGATTCGTCGATCATCATATACCCGCATCGGAGAGACTGTTTTAGTCCTACAGGCTCTGGTTCAG